TAGCACAACTTTGTTCATCACAAGACGGCAAATTGTCGTTCAAAATGGGAAGTTCCCGTTTCATCTCAGAGCATGTTTGAAATATTCATGAGACGCGCAGCCACGCCCCCTCCGTTCCAGGGATAGACACTTTGGCGCCTTTATAAAAACAGTCCGCGTTAACGGGATACTGTAAACCACTCGAAACTCTTTTCTGGTGCGCTTTTTTTGCTGAAAAAAATCGAGAGTAGGGAAACGCTGATAAGGAAGGCATAACGGTACGCCTGACCTTGTTTCTATCATCAGCGTAGGTTGCACCTTCAAGACCGCGTTCATACTTGGTGCCGAGCGATTCGATCGCGCGATTTGACATTTGCGGCCGACCACGCTTCACGCTAAGCCGCTGCTGCGGTATGTCCGACAAGGGATGAAATTTGTTCCACCGCAGTCATGCAATTCCCAAAATGCGCTGGAATGCCTAGCGGACTCATGGCGACCATACTTCGCTGCCATTAATGTGAACGGGAGCATAAGGCTCGTAGACCGTACCTGAATTCGTTGCAGTCCTTCGGGATGATGAGGATCAAGGTAGAGTGTCTTTGCGCTACCAACGACCAATTCCAAATTGCACTGTGCTTCTCCGAGTTCATTTCGTGCCACCTGAAGACAATTTCATAAGCATGGTCAGCTCCCCAGGTTCAGCTTTTAAAAGTTCATGAGCAGTAAAATTACTGGTTGTGGTTGAAAATAATCAACAGAGACAAAGATTTGAACTGACAAGGGTATATGTGCCGCTGTCTTCTGGATAGGCGTAGAGGATGTCGAGAGCGACGTAGCCAAAGTCGAACATCGGACGGAAACGATGGGCAGCAGGCAGTGGTGCACCATTGTGGTACCTGGAAAGGAACGCCATGACCATTCATGGAGAAGTTTCTCAATTGAGTGAATATGGTGCAAGCGAAAAAATTTGAATTTTTCGGTTTCAAGGGCAAGAAAAAAGGGGCTTATATAGTCCTCATGGTTTAGGAAATCGTGAGTATAAGACCGCAACTACAAAATAAGGCTGCTCATTTAAAGCGTCCAAGTGGAGCATAGCGGTGTCTACCAAGACTTGTGTGAGCTCATATTACAGAAACAGGCGGGGCGTGGCCGCGCATTTCATTTTAGTGTGGCACTTCTGGTGGGATAGTCCTGCATTGAAATAATTTTAATTATGCCAGTTTAGAGCATAACGTAGGATGACTGCTCACC